CCGAATAACAGCAAGAATAGAAATAATAGAAAATCACTTCACTTCTGGTCATAATGTTTTGACATTCTAAGTCACAGACTAAGGCAATCACTAAAAAATATGTGAGGAGTGAGCATTTTAGCTATCAAGGAGTGTGTTACAGTAGCAGAATGGTTGATTAATAATAGAACGTCAAGTGAAGGAGTATAGACAACGGATATCATTGATTCTTGCGATAAATGACGGGAATATGTGATGTAATTCCAGTCGTAAATAGTTCACACACAAGCACTAGCAGATTCAGTCAGGTTTTCTATGTGGCATACCAGCAGCATATGCGGAATTCATGATGGAATTCTCTGTCAGCATGTCATTTTGACGAACATTCAGTTTATTGTTCATCAATCCTCCTAACTACTCCCATAAGTTATCAGTCCGGAAATGTCTTAGTATTAAAAGCTTCTGAGGTATAAATTGATGTACGTAAAGGGACTTTCTCCGAGATTTTTATCGATAACTCTGTTCTCTCAAATTGAGGCGAAACAGTACTTCAAAGTATTTTGTTAATGATTATTTGTTTCGTGTGGGAATAATGGGCCACAAATGTGTAAATAAATTATTAAGAGAGTTGCAAATGTTTGAATCCAATACGTATGCAGTGAGAGACGGGAAGCATGGAACGTACTGATAAGGATGTAGGTGACACCTAAAAGACCTAGTCTGATCAGTGGAGTTTTATATATTCATAGCACAAAAAATTATTTGGTGAAGTCCATATTAACTATAGACGTTTGTAAAAGATATACGACATTTAAATCCAAATAATTATCTTAGGAATGACTTTTTTTCACTGTTTGTAAAAGTAATTAAAGTTTAAATTTTTAACATGTTTGTTTTAATCTGTCACATGGTATATGTTTTCATGATAATTAGTGGTACGATTTTAATTTTGATACTTTTTGACCTGAATCTTACTTTCCATACTCGTCTTGGTATTTAATGCGCTTTAATCATCCTTATTATTTTCGTCCATATCACCGTACGTATGAAATCTATATCTGTACAATGATGATTGCTTGATAATAAGATAAACAATATTAGATTATATTTTTAGAATATAAATATTCAGTTTGAAATATAACAAAAAGCTCCTAATATTAATTATCTACTGACTCCAAATTTTAGGAAATAATTTTCTATCTGATATAAGAGATGGTTCGCGTGTGAATTCTCAATCGTAATGTCATTTTAAATTTGTAGCTATTTGTTGACTGCAGTAGAACTTACTTAACTATCTGATTTTATTGACAGAATCTCGACTGACTGTTTTATGTTCTTTTGATATATTTTGTCTTGTACGAAATGTGCTGGAATAATATGTATTTCAAGGATTTGTATGCTAAAATATAACCATGAAAACATGCGGAAAAGTATTGAAGCATATTTCTCATTATAATTGATTTGAATAATCTATAACAAGTAGATAGTGAACCAATATTCGGACAAAGGTAGGTATTAAAATACAGATATGGGGGAATGCATGTTCTAGGATGCGTCGGATAGTGTTAACAATTTAATGTGTGGGAGTGACTACAATGTGGTCAAAGATATTAAGGAGAACCAATTTTTGGTGGTTGGAAACGCAACTAATAATAATCTATGGTTTTATTGTTTTGAAATAAATGGGCAAACAATCTGATATCTTGAAAGCTTACACTTCATCTAATATATTGGTTTTTGGTGCTCATTTTGAGCGGAATGTTCAACAACACCGCCAGGGTTGATTCTTTGGCTTGTTTTATCGTCAGCGCAAAAAAACGTAATGACTTCAGTTTTCAGTAATAAGGATAGGAGGTCATTCGACCTATATTAATCCTTGCAGTTTGTAATAATGTGGCCAATCTCGTTTTGAATATATTAACAGACGGTGCTGATATTACGTGTTCCGGTAGAGAATTCCAGTAATTCACTACTCGGTGCGAGAAACTCCAGACATAAACGGTTTGATCTTGGTTTTTGAACTTTCTTCGAATGTTCTCTCAAATGATCGGTTCTAGACGGAAGCAAATGATAAGACATGTTAATACCAAGGTCATCGTTCAGTATACGATAGGCCAATATTAGATCACCCCGTATTCTACGGTAAGATAACGGATAAGGCAGTAGTGAGCTAAAGTTTACCGATATGTATCAAACACTTTATCACTGCTTTTTTGGAATAATAAGTATCTTCACCAATCTAGAATAGACGGCATCTAATGAAATAGAATTCATGGTAAAATATTTCTTGTTTATTTAAAACCATCGTTTATGTAAAATTTAAGGCACTATAATCAATCGAATGCACTTTTTATTGGTTACTTGGATCCTTTTATTGATAGTTAAGGACTGCAATTCATCAGTATACACATCTGACGAGCTCCGATTGGGACGAAACGCGTGTTCTGGATTTCACTGCTGGCTAAAATTCATGTCTGCTCACAGGAAGTTGTTAAGCTAAATTATTTAAAAAATTAAAATATTGATGACTGAACTTACTATGGTTGAACAGTACAGCATTGGTTTTGTAACTGCTCAAATAATTCAAAAAAATGTTTTCTAAATTTAAGACAAACAGTGATTAACAGAACTTAACGTTGTAGTAAGTTTAAAGCATTGAACAACAGAGTTTATAAAATATGCCATAACTTTAAATAATGTGAATGTTATAGATCGTCAATGTACGTATTATGTGTGGATAGTCTTAATCTACTTGGGTTAGACGTGAAAGGTGTGACCTACTAGGTTGCACCAAGGTTATACCTCGCAATCAATACCTTACATGGATTCCCCTCTTGTGGTATCTACGTACTGTGGCTACTTTTATGACTGCGTAAAATAAACATGACGAATGCAGAACTGTATTAATAAGAACAGACCAGAGACATAGAGATTGAAAACATTTTCAATAGGGTCAACTGATGATGTGCAACAGATTAATTTGCGTTAGTTACCCTTGTTGTTGACGATATTTGATAAACGTTCCTACGTTCAGTTACACGTTGTGTAGATTAGAAATATTCAGTTTGTTGGGTGATTTGTTTACGGCTTGGCGACCTTTCCCTCACTCTACAACGGTTTCTACTTACTAAAACGCATGTTTGATGGAGCAGCAAAATGTCTTAAGGATCAAAAACATGTGCTTTTAATCCTGTTACGTATACTTAGAAATTAACACCCATGGTAGACACTTTTGATAAACTTAAAGTATATCCGGTCAGAAAGCAAATTTGAGTTGGTAAGTTGGTTTTACGAATCTGATTCGTACTTAGTTTATACTTGACATGAGTCTGCAAAAACTTCGCAGTCTACTGGCGTGATGGCGGCTCAAGAAATCTCTTGAAATATTAGTCAACAAAAAGGTTTAAAAGCTATTATATAATAATACGGTGTAGCGATCTATATATTTAAGTGGTGCTATCTATTTTTCAGTGGACTACAAATGATATGTTATTTACGATACTAATTAATTTACAAATGGTGGTTGTATGAATCTGCTATGCTTTTTATACTATTTAATAAGAGTTGTAATAATTTCATACTTTCATTTCAAAAATATGTCATGCACAGTAATTGTGTCTTCGCTGAGGCTGAAAATTCATTCCTTAGACAAGTTAATAGAATTTTTAAAAAGAACACCAGATAGCAATGCATGACAATCTGGTATTAAAAGTTTACTCAAGTATCCTAACACGGATTCATATCTGATCGTAAGAACATAAACTAAGTAATTATTAAATGTTTTGTGCGTGGTCAAAACTCTCAGACGCGCCAAAAGCATAATTAAGTAGCCACAAATGAACCAGACCTTCAGAACAGGATTAAGCTATATATGCACATGAGGGTATTTTTTAGACTTAGAATTAAGAGCGTTATAACTTGTAAATAAATTATCATTTTATTCAGACACCACAGGTTTTTAACAACCTTGAATTATTTCATCTTTGACGAAATCTGATAACTAGTAAATGTTTATGCACATGACTAAAAGAGTCAAGTACAATTTAAAGTTTTTATTTTATTAGAAGCTCAGTCGGCGATGAGTAACATGTTTCTCACATCATTTTACACAACATCTTTAGCTTCGACAAAAATATATGATATGTTTTTGAAATGAAATACAAAGGCAAATTTAATGGCGGTTTGAAATCGTTTTGTCAGTTACGAGGTGTTCTTCATATTAAAAATAAGGAACACTTACTTGAAATATTTTAGAAAACATTCAATCCTATAACTTTGAATATTTTGACTGCATTTATGTTAGAATACAGAACTCATAGTATCTTGAAAAATAAAAATCAGTAATTCTCAATGCCAATGTACAAACATCCTGTTTTTTTTCGTATAAGTAGTAATTAATTTATATTTTTATAAAGCAAACGTTTGCTAAACTGGTTCTCACTTTGCTTTATGAGAGTAAGTATATTGTGACATCTAAAAATCTTAGTCCAGTTAATTAAATTATTCCACAAACTTCCTATTACGTATTTTATACAAATATAGAACTTTATGCCTGTAAAATTTGTAGCTGCATTTAAGGCAATTAAAGCTCAAATATGTGCAACCTGGAATATTGGTAAACGTAACTCTAATAATTATTTAAACATAACTCTTGAATAATAAATAAACTGTCAAATGACAAACTGACTCTGGAATAATCATGAAAACACAGAAACTGATAAACACATCAAACAAGAAATAAAACAAACACTTGCATCTCTGACTATTCTCAAATTAACTTGTACGTACGGAAGGCTTAAATAACAGATAACCTTTATTCGTCTATCTTACATATTTCTCTAAGTCAGGTCATTCTCATTTGTGTACTTCAAGTTTATCATAATTGTTCCTTGTAAAATAACTATTTGTTTTTCTCATTTTGGTTTTTGACTTTTTTGTTGTTTTGACTTTTTACTAGTAAATATTTTTAAATAACATTTTTGGGAGCTTCATTACAAATAATTAACTGAGCGTTACGCCATATGCCAATAGCTAATTCTCGATTAGAACGTTTACAGATAAGGAAGCTTCTTCAGTGTGTAAATAATAAAGACGTCGACCAAATAAAGAAGTTGATTGAACATGGGGTATCGAATCTTATCAATTATAATGATCCAGATAATGGTGCAACAGCTGTAATTTCAGCCGTCAAGTTGGATGACATTTACACAATTGAAGTAATAAAGTAAACCTTGTAAATGACGTTTTAGTTTCTTCTTTTGAATGGCGCATGCATAGACATAGTAGATTTTGATGGTAAAACTGCCCTTATGACGGCAGCTGAACTTGGAAACGTGAATATCTTACAGAAATTGCTTGACAAAGGTGCCAACAGGAATGCAATTGATTTCAATGAAAGAAGTAATTTCAACTAGTTTATGGTTATTGCTTTTAGCCGCATTATTCTATTGTATCTCACCAACCGATGAGCATTTAAAATGCTTAGACCTATTACTAGACAAAAGTATGTTCATTAATAAACAGGACCTTGATGGACAAACAGCATTGCATGTTGCATGTAAAAGATCTATTGAAAATGAGAAGTTCATTCTTGAATTACTGAACCATGGTGCTAATCCAAACATTTATTCGGTATGTTATTCGTGTAACTCGCCAGTTATTTATTTCCGTACGATAGATATGCTATACTAAATTGTCTCGAGTTAGTTTTTTTAAATACTTTTCAAGATGAAGTTCGATATTCCGGAAATGAATCCCTCTCTTCAGATTTAAATAACTTTAATAGTTTCATTCCTTTGTTTTCTGCGCACGGTCACATCCAAAGGCGAAAGCTTTTGTCTAAATATTCGACTTGATCCACTTTAAAATTCTCAGTAAAACTATATGCTTATAAAATGATCTAAAAATCGTAAGCTTCATTTGACGAATTATTGTTTCAATAGACCAGAATATTCTAAGCATCAGAAGAAATCCAACACGGAGAAAATTCTGTGAAGTGATCAGAACCTCTTGAGAAAGTAGCACTGAGAAGTGCCAGAACTCATTAAAAAACGTTTTATAAATAAAATTAAGAACGGGCTCACTGCGATAATCCTTGTGCCGATCTTATATCTAATGCTTTAAACGGCTGAATTTTTAAATTTCTGTGTTCTTAGAGGATAACTAATGACTTAATTGAATGAATGAAAAATCAGCAAAACATTTTATAGATTGATGAAATGCTTGTATCAGTCAGAGTTTGGGTTTGTTGTGACCTATTTCCAGCTTTATTATTAAGATACGTCAAGGTAAACTGTACTTCATGTCATTATGTGGTAGAATTACTCAATAGTTCATGGTTTGTACTTCCTTAGAGATCTCACATATACATAGTTCAGATCATCATAAGCTGAATTTATTGGGTTTACTAGGCTGATTATGTAAAATTACTGTCAGTTTCACCAAATGGGAGCCTATTATGTGGATTAGCCAGTTTTTAATGATAAAATATTAGTATACATAACTGTCTCCATTAGAAAAAAACTGACATTTTGAACTTTCTATTAGTTGTAATTCTTTAAAATTGGGACTTGTTTTTATACTGGTGAGGTGTTTAGCTAAAGCTCATTTTCACTACAAAAACGTGTTAAAATACAGGATTATTAGTCTTTAGGTGTACCAGTATAGCTTTTATCCTGAATTTTAGCTTAATAATTCAACGGTTAGGCGTTTTGGTATAAGTATAAAGGTCCTGGGTTCAATTCTTGGATGCAGAGTCGTGAATACACACTGTTGTTTAGTCTGTCCTAGGATGAAACGGTCATCTAGTGCTTCCGGGTTTTCAGCGTTTATCTAATTTAGGTTGCTTTGTGATTTCAACGATATTATTTATTATTATTACTATCCTCTAACAACTTTTCATAATTATTATTCAATTGCTGTTATGACCTTTAGGCTTTTTGTTTTCTCTCCATATCTGTTAAGTGGACAATTACTTCTCATCTTTCTTAACCGTAAATTGATTTCATCTTCACAACTCTTTTCTACATATTTGACACTTCGAATAACCTTATTATGTATTCTCTTTTTATTCTTCTACAAACTCATATATTTATCAAACAGCCATAAATACAAGTGTACAACTTGAGCGAATAATTTCGTAGAAAACAAAGCAAATTCTCATACCCAAATTCTCTTTATTTTTATTCAAGTTAGCTTACATTAGTCCGTATATGCTTTATATTTCGGAATATAGCAGTAATTTAACATAATCTTTTGCTTAACTGATGAAATGTCTGTTACAAGTGATCAAATTTTCGAACTGAATCTAATGCAGAGTCATAAGTAGATAATTCTGTGAAATAAAGGATACGTCCTGTACTTCATAGTTTTTTTCAAAAACATTTCCTAGCCGTTGTCGATCTACGATGTAATGTATCTTCAAGTGAAAAGAATCTTGACAAACAGTCTAATAAATCTTGTAGGTGTCATTACCAAGGTTTGATTTGATAATTTCGAATAAATTGAGCATTGGGTTCATTGTTATAAATGAAAATAATATATTTGTAATATCCAATTTTCTACTCATTGGGATATTACAAATAGATTATTTTTATTTATAATAAATCTTGTTTATATTTTTTCCTAATTTTCCAACCGAACGCATAATAACCTATTTATGTTTACTATGTAAAGTTATAGAATCTCTACCATAAACTTTGTAGGAGGAAATCTTCTAAGCTTAATTGGAAGTCTATTACGTCATACTAAAAAGGTGAATCTCAATAATTCACACCATCTTATTTCTGTATTTATTTACATTATACTTTAGAAAAATGGCAAGACTTCATTTTTAGAAGCATGTGGAACAGGTAGTAGTATCTCAGTTACAGCAGCATTACGTGCGGGAGCAGATCTAAATTCTTGTGACAAAGAAAAACAAAGTAGCGCTCATGAAGCTGCTAAAAATGGTCATTTAAAGGTGTTGTTTGTACTTTCTGCATTTGGATTCGACTTCAATGTTGTAAGTGAAATTCAATTACGAACTACTGTAAAGCGAACAATCCATTAGTTTTTTTTGAAAGTCCATAAGTCAAACAAATATCTGGTGAGTCGGACAGTGTACCATTAGTGTTATTCCCAGGATGACTTACATCTTTGAAATCGATTGATTCTCAGTTAATATCGTAAAAAAGCGATCAATATAACGGACAAGCATGGCACGTTGAATAAGGATGTCTTAGACAGTACACTCAATCAATTTTTTCTTCATTTAGCGGGCTTATGCTGCATATTAGAAAGTGATTTTCATACAAGGATTTCAATTCAATATCTAACTTTCACCGTATTTGTGTTTTTTTATTCTGGATATCAGACTTTGTAGTGTACATGTCCATAGTAGGCAGCTGAACATACCTTCATCCAACTAATAACATCAACAGATAGTGATGTAATGAGGTATATCGTCAGCCTTTAAATATAGCTTCATTCATTTTAATTCAATCATTTTCTCTTAAATCATATACATGAAAAAATCAAGTCACAAGTCTAAATAAGCTACTTATTTCATGACTAAATTTCTCCTGCATCTTTACTATAAATTCTGCAAGGTTAGACTGGTTAAAACTAATTAAGAAGGAACATTTTCACTAAAGGTTAATCTTTTTTGGAATTCTTTGTTAGCCACTATTAATTCAAAGTAACAGCCCTTCATACAATAAATTTCATAGTTACTCATATAACTCATATCTGCTGATAACTGAACAAAGACAGACTTTTAAACACTACTAAATTGTCAAAGAAACAAATGTTTAACTGTTTTCTGTTGGTTGCGGAAAACAGTTCAATTTTATGACTTCTTATATTATGAACCAGAAATAACTGAAGAGCTATTAAAAAATCTCGTATAATTGTAAGCATAATAGAAATCAAATTCAGTATAGTATGGTTTTATAATGAGTATGTTACGTTTAGACAACCATGTTTTAATCCAATGATCCATAATTCTACATAGATTTATTCAACATCATTGATAATATTTATCCTTGAAAAGATTAAAAAATCATCTGACAAACCATAGGAACATAATGATAATGGATCAATTGTTTCATCATATTGTACAGTTCATCAAGACTGTTTATCATTTATGATTAGATCAACATAAAATATAAACAAATGAAACTGATCTCTAGTATTTACCATAATTATTTTTTATTTATTTTGTTAACGTTAGTTTCTTTTGGTTGGTTTTTTTTAATAAACGACTTAAGATTTCTTGCTTATGCCTTTCTGTGTACTTTCCATCTACTAACTAAGTAATCTTACTGATAAAATAATTCACCATATGAAACAAGACCATTAGAAAAAACATTATTCGTTTGTAGTAGTTGTATTGGCAGTTTTACCGTATATCAATCAGCCAAGGAAGTCCTACTCAGTGCCTTCTCGTGGCGGGGGTGTTGTCTACGAAATTGAGAGGACGAAAAGCGAATGTCCGGCGCTTTAACCGGGTTGGTGGATATGGAGAGTCCATCTCAGGGAGTTGGAAAACCCTGATTCCGAACCACATGGGCTCCAGTATCCTGAAGGAAGAATTGGCGTATGAACCAATCGTTGGTCACCGGCTGCCATGTGACTGCATCTCCTTAAGATGCTCCACTGACTTGTGGATCAGACCTTCAAGTCGAAGGCTCCGGGTGTGGCCCCCTAAGAAAACTACCTGCTTCGGTTTGGGCACTCGGACAGTTTCACAGCCCTCACACATATCTAATGAGATTTGTGTGGCGCATATGTATTTGGTGTCTCCTTGTCGCAATATCTATGTGTTAAAATAAATAAATAAATAAACTATGTATATAGTCAGATTAAGTAAATATATAAATGAAAGTAAATATAAATGATCTCTATATTAGTTAACTGTTTAGGCTCACTACTAATCACAAATTCATTTATTCCATAAAAAATTTGTATTAAAAATGTTCATATATTGTGAATTAGAACAAAATATATAAAGGAACAATATTGTTTTTCATTTTATCCTCATTTTTGATTTATAAACTGCCTTGATTAATTGTTGTATATTAGAAGATTTGATTGAAAACAATATGATTCACTTATATTTCATTGTTCTATTTCTAAGTAATTGAATTGTAACATGATCAAAAATAGTTGATTGAGAGTTATTTTAAAAACAGCTTACACAATTAGTTAATTTTACAATATTTTAACTAAAGTTATGCGTATAAACGAATAACCTAAATTATGCTCAGCATCAATCATTAGGCAAGTAACTTGGCAATCTTAATGGACATTTTTGATGTTTGCATCAATATAGGTTGTCAGTAATGTTCGAAGCTTAATGTCGTCTACGCGATACTCATGGTTCTCACTGAACTTCTTGGTCTATAAAGAAAGGCATATTTTATTCGATACGTTTTCATAATGAAGAGCTCTTAATATCTCTTGAGTTTTCTTAGACTTTCTCTCAACTTCCATTAGGAATTTGATAGTTAGTTACAGTTTCATCGGTTTATCAATCTCTATCATCGACAATAGCTGAAATAATGTCATCTGTTTCTAAAACCTAATCATTATGAGGTTCGGAAATTAATTCTAATCCGCCATTGACTAGTACCTGAATAAACATAAACTACCATAATCAGACTGATTCAAAACACTGAACATCTAATTATGATAGGATTAGTCGTTTGTTTATTTGCGCAAAACTGAAAACCCTGATAACTTAGTATGTTAATTGAATAGATTATGTGTCTGTTAAATGAACAATATCAAGATAGATATATACCTTCTGTGTCCCAGTTTTCATGATCTTATATTTTACTAAATTTCACAGATATGGTACCATATTTATATTAAGTTCCTTGTATTTTAGAAGTTGAGAATTCTCATTATATAATAACATTAGTTTTAATAAAACATTCATTTTGAATGTTATTACATATTAAGTATGATTAACTAGCATTTTCAGTAATATTGGTACTCCTCATCCTCCTCCTCCTACCACTACTACTACTACTACTACTACTACTAATGATGAGAATAATAATATCAGTTTAACCATTTTTGTATAATGAACACTGATTAACTATACATTTCACTTTAATATAATTTTAAATAGCTTGATAACAATGGAAATAATCCATTACATATGGCTGCTAAAGTCAATGAAATGTGTTGTAAATTTCTTGGACAAAGAGGTGAATTGACAATATTTCTGATTTTTATTTTATTTTAATTTAATGTAATAAGTATATAATAATATTACTGTTTTAAATAGCATAAGGAAACAGTATAGAAAGCTATAGGATCGTTTAACCAATTTACAGTTTTACGATACAATAGATTTAAAATAAAACTTAAGGATGAAACGGCCGTCCAGTGCTTCCAGGTTGTTCATAGTGGTCTAGCTTCAACGACGGACTCACGATCTCAACTGTTGAAATTCCTATAATATCCACAAAAATCCCTCCTGATATTAATAATTAACGATGCACTAGTTAATCATATTTAAACTGAAACAATAATAAACATAAATGAAGATTTTTTGAACTTAGGCTACAAATAGTCTATCAGATAAATAAGTAGTAATGGATGCAAAATAGAAGTGACTGAATTAACTGTTTTTCAGGCGAGACTCTAATTTAAGGACGACCTTTGAACGAATCTTAATTGACTTTGACAATTATTAGCCAATCAGGAGACAGTAACCATAAAGTGAAAATATATTGTAAGTAATGAATTACAGTGGATATCCTTCTTTTACATGATTTATAACTTGTTAAAGTTTCATGAGGTTCAGAGGTTCTGAATTCATAATGCGTATGGTATAGAAACTCGTCCATAGGATTAGGGTTGTAGCATCACAATAAACACCTCTTCTATAAAATCCGATGTAAACAGATCGCATGTTAGCACCCTAACTCCTAACCTAACCCTAAACCCTAACATAAACCCTAACCTAACCCTAAACCCTAACCTAATCCTAACGTTAACTCTAAACTAACCCTAAACCCTAACCTAACCTTAATCTTAAACCAAACTCTAGCCACTAACTCTAAACCCTAACCCTATGGACGGGTTTCTATACCATATACATTATGAATTCAGAACTTCTGAACCTTTATCAAACCTTACCGAGTTTTTAAATCAGGTAAAAGAAGAATATCTACTGTAATTCATTACTTTCTTGTAATATATTTTTACTTTATATTGTCTTCTGATTTGCTAATAATTGAAATTGCTCAAACGCTTCTGATTGGCTCGTCTCTAAATTAGAGTCTCGCCATCCCATCTGTTGTAACCTCTCATTAATCACCTACTCTCTAAAATCCGCTGTGAACCGATCGTATGTTAGCATCGCGTGTTGAACTTGGCTCCGTGACCTTGAAATTGCTCAGACGTTTCTGACTGGCTCGTCTCTAAATTAGAGTCTCATTAAAATGATCTAAATATTAATATAAAGAAGATAAATTCCATAAGAGAACTGGGGACTAGTAGATATATAATTTTGACTAATTAAGTGAACGAGATAATAATAAAAACGATCTGACTTCATGGAAGAGTTGCATAATGCTTGAATACTACACATTCATTGTTTTTACTTATTACATGATTGTTTTCAATTAATTTTTCAAAGGTTGTGATGCAAAAGTAAAAAATGCAAATGGAAAATTACCTCGAAACATTGCTATTGATGAAGGTAAAAAATTGTGTGCCAAAGAACTACGTAAACTAGAACGTGTAACCAGTAAAACATTAAAAAATGCAGAATTCTGGGCCATTAGACTATACGATTGGTCAATTGTATTTGCAAATGATTTAAGAGAACGTTTCATTGAAATCAGTCAGCGTTTATCAAGTGCTTTAGAAGAACAGAAAGAAGAAAATTCAAATATTTCAAGAGAGTTAGACAGTAGAAATGATTTTCAAATTAGTGAACAAAGTTTAATCACAGCAGTGCATGCTTCTGATCAACAAGAATCAGATAAATTAAGCACAAAAACCAGTTCCGGTAAAAAGAGAAAACGATCGAAAAAACGTAGTACAAGCCGTTCCAGATCTAGAAAAGCATCAAACACAAGAATTCCTATAGAAGATTTCACATCAGTAATTAGTTCGTTAGATGGACCAATTAATGAGATAATTAGTAAAAAATTACTTACTTTACATGAGAAAAATGCAGATGGTTGTATTGATTGGGAAGAGTTTCTGACTGGGAAAAAATATTTGAATAAAAATTACTTAATATCAGCCTTTGAAAAGAAGAAAGGTAAAAAGAAAAAAAGAAAAGGTGGTAAAGGTAATTTGGAATCAACGTCGGTTTTTTTTTCTTTCCTTAATATAATTCCTTTTTTTCAAGTATAGCAAGCCATCAGCATCTCATTAATTGGATGCTTTTTTACTGTATCGATGTTAGATTGTAACGCCATCTTAGTTTACTATACAATAAATCGGGACTGAACCCCACTTTCCTACTTTGGTTTGCGTAACAAAATAATAACACAAGTTCTCACAAAAAGATTGTAACCCAAAGTAAGATACATGAATACGTACCTGGTAAATATGTGATAAATTTTGTTTTCTGCTATTCTTTTAATGCATCCGGCTTATGTCATTTCATACTTTCTATATATTCTTTTCTTTATTTAAGTCATATTTCACATAATTGCCCTGGGTTTATTTCCCAGACGTATTTTCCTTACCTCGTGTCGTTTATTGTTTTGGATCACTATGAGAATTTAAGGTGTAACGAGTTGAACCATTACAAAATGGTACCGCATTATACATTTTTTTGTAATTTATTGATGCTTGAAGCTAACTATACATGTAAACTCTAAAGACAGACTAAGATCAACTTTGTTTTCATGCATCACGTAATCTAAAACCTGAAATTCTGTTATCTGCAAGAATATAATTTGGCATTAACTTTATAAGTTAATATGTTTTTCCATTATTTACAATGAAGACTGTATTGATCAGACTCTTTTGAAGGTATGAAATTCTTTAACGGATAACTTGAAATTATTCCATTTAATTGTTTTTTCAATTCAAAATGCAGTATTAACAACATGGAAATACAAACTTATGCAACTAATAACACATGAGGTTTACTGTGATTCAGAAGCCTTTAGATACCTATGGATGCCTATGGATACCGAGTTTAAGTATCGTTGTGAACATCTATGATTAGTGGGGTTCAGTTATGTTGTGAGTATGACAATTACCTACTGATGATATTAGATAAATTTTACACTTAATTACTCGTTATATTTAATCTCAATTAAATTAATCAGTACGCTGGTTCTTTCATAAATTGCAATTGACATATATAAATAATCCTCATCATTTTCTTCATTCATGTTAGAAAAGAATAAATTTGAGGTTTATTTCGAAAGTATAATTCCTTGTAAATAAATTTGTTTGATAGATTCTTTGATCATTACTTCCATGTCAGCTAGTTAGATTTCATGGTTTGTTTAAGTTTACTTGTGATGAGATAGATTTTAAACAAGTAAGGCCATTGTTTGTAATTAATGGTAATCTTTACAATGCTACACTAATATTTAGATTTGTTGATAAAACCAACTGATATGACTTACGCTTAACTTGCAAATGTCTGAAGAAAAAATTTATTTTCCATATGTGATATACTTACAGTAGTTAAAATAATCCAAATGTTGAGAATGTGAGAGAGGTGACCTAACTCTGGAAACTGAGCATGTTACTTACTTTTAACCTGTATCATAAACACTTGACATCCGAATTGATACTTTACGTTTAGTAGGCCCAATGTATTATTTCTTTATGCATCTAAGTGATATTAAAAAGATTATTTACATCATAATGTACCGAAAAAGAACACCCGTGGGGTCAATCAAAAGCGTTTTAATGAAACATTATAGAATTTCTTGGTAAAATCTGAGATCCATACAGTAAATACTTCATTTACAAAACATCCATCAATTGTCTCAGATTTCATTGTCTAATCATTTCTATACCATTCTCTCTCTTTTCTCGTTCTCTTATCTTTGATTTTCTCAACCTTCTGCCACTAAACATTCCACTTTCAAATGGTGATGCATACTACTTATATCTGTCGACATCAATAGCACGCACTACAATAAAACTTTGGCAGTTTTCTCTTAAAATTTTACTAACTTCATTGTCAAATACAAAATATAGTCATATCTCTATGCAATATTGCCATGAAGATTGTAGGTTTGATAAATAATTTAGACATTTTTAAGTCCATTCATACACTATTCATTTTTAGTTTGCACTGAATTTGAATTTTCTATTGTAGAAACTTTATAATTTTGCACTATTTCATTCCCAGAGTCTATTGGTCAGTTTTAGAGTACTAATTACCTTAGATATTCAAAATATACAATTCAAGTACATATATTATTGGAAATAAGTGATAAATGACAAACACCTAGCACTTCAACGTAACTATAATACGTTAACGCATTCTTAGTAATGATCAATATTGTTCACTGAATAAAAACAAATATCAGTATGGGGATTTGTGGAGACCGTTGTATTTTAGCATTTGACTGCGCGCTGTTGAAGAGCCCCCTACAAGGACGAAACAACCGTCCAGTTTTTCCAGACTTTCAATGATTGTCTAGCTTAGATCGACTCATGAATTAAACTGTTAAAAAGTCAAATACATCTAATGAGATAATACTGAGTTAGGTATTTAATATCAATTCAAACAATCAGTTGAAATATCTCGAAGAGCTAATTAAAGGAAGAATTTTTAGTTGCTTTCATTTTATATAAATAATATAAAGTATGTGTATTGTGTTATGTTCCCGAACCATATCAGCACAGTCAGATGAAATTATCAAGATGATTAACAAATTAGTTGTAGTAATAGTAGCCGTGTGTTATGAGCTACTTATGTAAAGAGATATAAAAAGAACGATGAAGTTCGTAAGAGATAATTCAAATAAGATGTGGAAAGGGTGTATCCATTGTTCATTTGTTTTCATATTTTAAAATCCAGTGTGTATTACAATAAACTGGTTGAACCTGCCTAATTTTCCGTTTGGTACGGTAGTAGTAGTTGTGTAGTGAACAGAACACGGGTAGGGACAATCGAATTATATTTTGCACAACCTTACAGAGTTACTTGGTAAAACAGAAAAACCATACTATAGTACCTAATTTGCAAAATGTTCAATAATTGTCTCGAACTTCATTGTTGTTGCATTTCCATACTAATTTCTTTCTATTTCCGCTCTTCCTTTTTTAATCTTTCTCATCTTCTACTGCCAGACATTACATTCCTGACTCGCGTCATATACTGCTTATATCAATATAAGTAGCACGCACCACAGTTGTAGCTTCAGTAGTACTAAGAAGAATTACTCTCAAAGTAGATGATTCAAGAAGAACAAATGAATTATCCTGATGAAGGGTTCAAAATAATTTTAAAACCATTGATTTAGGAAAATGTAAATAATGAATACACCCCTAGTACTGTGATTAATTCTACTTTAACTAATATCATACTACATTTTAAACCACTTAATTCATTCACTTCATTAAGATGTAATAAATCACTGCAAAGAAGGAACATCAGATTTTATTTTCTGTCTAAAATCTTATTGTTTTACTGTTTTCAATTAATTTAATTTGATTTCTCTGTCTTCGATGTTATGACTGTAATTACTTATAGTTAAAATAAATATAATTTAATACAGTCAAGCAGGAACCAATTTAGAAAATTTATTCACATTGTGTTCTTTGAAGAAAAACCTGTGCAAACCTCAATTATGGATTTTTTTCCCAAACAGATTGATTACGTAATAAGACTTACTTAGCGATGCTTCGGAAGTAATTCTTGTTGAAACAATGAACTGATCAATAAAATTCAGCAATCTCTACAATCCTAAATTGAGAAGTAATTTAGTTTTCTTTTCGTTCAACTTATGGTCAATGACAGAGAGAGTTATTAGAAAATATAAGTATTACTTGTGGTTTAAATATTATATATCAATAGTTGAGATCATGAGTCAATTGAAGCTAGACCACCATGGAAAACCTGGAAGCACTGGACGACCGTTTCGTCCTATTGCGGGACTCCTCAGCGGTGCGCACCCACAACCAGTGGAGTTCAACCGGGTCAGTTGTGAGGTAGTAACCCACTGATGGCAATGGCGGATGTGTCGCTCAATTTCGTGGAATATTTGAAGTTAGACATTAACACTTTTGGATGCCGGCTCAGTGGTCTAGTTGGTTAAGCATCTGGTGCAAGACTGATAAGTCCAGGGTTGGATTCTCGTGAAGCGGGGTCGTGGATGCGCACTACTGAGGATTTCCATACTAGGACGAAACGGCTGTCCAGTGCTTCCAGGTTTTCCGTGGTGGTCTAGCTACAATTGACTCATGATCTCAACTAATGAAATTATATGTCAGTTAAAATTTCTGATGTAATTTAATAATTAAGTTTGTCAAATACATTGTTTTGTTTTTTATTTACTGTTTCTCTTAGGTAGTAAACGCAGAAAAATACCTATGAATATATGTACACTACCATCAGAGGCTATTTATCGTCGTGCAGATGGAGGTCCCTCTATAATGTACATTCCTAAAGAAATTCATCCCATTGATTTAAGTAAGTATTTAGTACCGTATATTTTGTACACTGTACATTAATTCAGCTGCAATGCTGACTACTCAAATATTTTACAGCCAAGTTTGTATTTTATTTAGTTGCATAAAACAAAATCTCTTTCAATTACACTAAAATGAGGAACAGGTGAATTGATAATAAAATTGTATTAACTTGTGACCGACAATTAGTGAGCGGTGAATTATCGATCGGACCAATCACGCGTAAAACACATGCGAACACCCTAGAGTTCTGACTGGCCCTGCTTCCTGTCTAGCCCAGCCAGTTAAGTCCACAACACTAACCTCAGCCTCTGCAATATGAATCATTTAGTTCAAGCATACGGGTTTTGTATACCAACCAGACAGATCACATCGTACCAATAAAATATGAAACAACATTTGTGCAAGAATCATCCAAATGTGACTGTCAATGAGGGAGGTAATAATTAATATACTGAATATAACTCAAGAATGGTAAAACGTATAATGATAGTTTATGGGTCAAAATAAAGCTTATAATAAGCGGAATATGAATATGTATAGTTTAGTTAATAAACAATTATACGATAAAAATATATGCATAGTATTGGTCCATAAATAGATCCCAAAAGTTATCATTCATTATTCTTGTCGGGACATAACAAAAATATCTATTTTTTCAATCGTGTTCAATGTCTTAAAATTTTCGAAGCCTTCATCAACCAAACTGTTAAATATTTCAGTTGTTCACCTTGAAGTAACACTTTTTAGACTCATAGTAACAAAATTACAATGTCGATAGGTTTCACTAATATCTTCATTCATTAAATCTTATTTTACAATATCAATAGCAAAATTTATTGTTTGTAAAAGACATTTTCTAATGGTTAAATAGCTGCTCTCCATGGATCATGTGACAATGTAATAAATAGACTATTTTTTAAAAACAACTTGTAACTTATTTCCATCCAAGGTAAATGTGTCAGAAAATGCTTCAGCTTGAAATTTCCAAGACTATATAAGGCATTATTTTCGTGAGAGGTTCATTTTCCAAATTCTTCATTTCATCAAATTTTCGGAACAATATCACTGTTTAATACTGATAAAAACTATGAAACTCAATCATGTTTAAAACGTTCTCCTTTGTTACTGAATATGACAAAATTTAATAATATCTGTAGCCAGTTTCCATAATGAACTGACGTCATATTAGAAAAAATGTTTTAGAAAAGGTAATAATGAGCAGCTGTTTCACCCTATATGACGACTCTCCAATGAAGGGTTCGAATGATTTAGTACGGAATCAAAAGTAGGATATTCAGTTCTTATCGTGAAAACGATATGTGGTAGATCACTGAGATGGGTTCCAACATTCATACGTCCTAACTTCATATTCACTAAATTTATATTCCTTTACTGAGCAACATTTTATTGAATTTAATCTAATATTAAAAATGGTTGACATATTCAAATAAGATTCTACAACGCTTATCCCATTATGCAGAATTATTTTATGCTTTTGGATAAGATAAAATATTGCTGTATGAACAAAGTAGCTTCTAGTAGTTATATTTATATGTTAAGTACTCAGTCAGTCAGCTACAACGTAGGACCAGGCACATATATGCATCGGTCCAAGTTGCCATACCTCATTAGCGCAGCAAGATGATCACCGGATTCATAGAAGTAGTTAATTCATTGATGATAATATATAAAAGAAAGATTGCATATAAAGACATAGTACAGGAAGAAAGAAAGATACGAAGTGATTTTAATCTCATAGTTTAGGGGAAGACAAAGAGTGTATACACCTACGTCATTGTTATCGGTTCTGAGCCATGTCACCCAGAGTACTGATTGTTATTCGTACCTAATAACCCATTTATATACATCAAAATAAGTGATGCTTGTTTTATGTGTTACATTTCCCGAGAAGTAATTTGTTTCTGTTACTATTTAGATCGTTTCGATGCAGACCATCCACCTATGCATCCTTTTCAAGATGATTCTGTTTGGTATGTAGATACTCCAAGACGTCAGTATATAAGTTTTCATTCTGCAGCTTTACATAATGACATGGGTAAGGTGTTTGTTTAATTCTCTATTATTTCTATTCTTTATATAAATTAGTTATTTTTCTTTTCTGATGACCACGTTTTTTATTTTCAAAGCCTATTTTGTTACTTGTGTAATAACTTAATAGATTATGACATTCGTCGCTTTATGCTCTTATCTCTTTGTAAGATGAAAAATCGGCTGAATAGTAAATAGATGGGGAATGATATAAATGTGTATGACTAATTTCTTACATCACCATTTTATGCGTTGAAATTTGATCAAACTTTAAATACTTACCATTATTAAGATTAAGTATCCAAAACTTCACAAAATTGTTAATGAAAACACGTTTTAAACTCACTGACTTACTAAACATAGTCAGCTCATCACCAAAATAAGGTAAAATACCAAATCGTGTACACATTTATTTATAGCAAAATAGATATGTTATCTGGAATTTCAAGAATCTCTGCTACTTACATTTGATAAAGTAGTTTAGAATGATTAGAAACATCTATAGATTAAAGCATCTAACTTTGGTTATGTTATAACTTGTGTGCCCTGTTTATTGTATAACGCAACGATACCACCAATCAGAAAGCAGCGAATTATCAATCGAACCAGTGACGCATCAAACACGTGCGAGCAGCCTAGAGTCCTTATTGATCTCGATTTCTGTCTAGCTCAGCCAGTTAAGTCCAGAACATCAATCTCAGCCTCTGCAATACGAATCATTTGTTTCAAACATACTCGGTTTATATATCAACCAGACAGACCACAACGTACCATAAAATATGAAACAATATTTGGCCAAAAGTGGCTATGAATGAGAGAGGTAGTGATTAACAGACAGGGCATAATTCAAGAATAGTAAATCGTATTATGATAGTTCATGGGTCAAAATAAAGCTCATAATAAGAGGGACATGAATATGAGCAGATTATTTACATAATAATTACACGATAAAAATATACGTATAGTCTTGGACCATAAATGAATCCCAAAAAACTACCATTCATTATTCTTATCGGGATATAACAGGTTATCGTATAAATTAAATATAATTTCAAGTATATTATTATGAACGGCGAGACTATAGTTTATGGATGAACCAATAAGGTAAAAGATAACAGTTCTGAGATTTTGGCACGAAATTCATTCATCCGTTTGGCACAATACGGTTTTGGCATTACAGCTGATACCAGTTCGTGACGAAAATCTTAAATCTAATTCCTAACCTTAACCATGAACTATATATCATAATTCTAATTCCTCACACAGGTTTATAATCTTCATTTAGTCCTAGTTAGTAGGTGGACACTCTCAATATCACTTTGGCTTCGCTCAAAGGTCGTCCATAAATTATGGTCTCACCATTGTGAACAATTCGATTACCATTCAAGTTTCAGTATTGTTTAAATGATCAATTATATATTTAAACCTTAAGGTTGATTATACCGAAGAGGTAAACTTTTATTTAATAAGTCGTTTTATTTTCCAACTTTATGGCAGAATATTACAATCACCGCCATCCTTGTAATTTTCATTATTATAAAATGATTATTTGTTGTCATTGTTATTTTCATCATAGATTCAATTCGTTTAGCTTTATCTGAAGGATATAACATTGATACAAGAGATAAATTTTATAAAACGCCTTTAATGATAGCAGCACATCATGGTAATTTAGACACAGCTATTGAACTTATCAAATTAGGGTAAGTTAATTATTTTCATAAGCTAATTGTTACCTAAGAATTCTTAATATTGATGTAATCTAAAAGTGATATAATTCTGAAATCAATTAACAGTTGCTAGCCACTTATCCATCTTTGCTTATATTGCTTGTGAATTAAGGCAATATCGAGGCAATATGCAAAGTATGCACATATGCCAATATGAAACTGATCAATTGCAGTCTTAATCATCAATGGAAAGATTCAAGTAAACAATACCAAGTGAAGTTCATTACATTGTTATGTTTATTCAATTACCAAATAAATGACATCAATAAGCTAATACTAATAAGTCAAACAAATGACTTGATTTGCTTCACTAAGGTTATCATAAATGATATTCAAAAAAGCACCAGCAACAATGGGAAAATGAAAGTTTCATACTTAGAATGTTTCAATGAATTACTACTATTCATAGTTACTGAGTAATATATAATGTACAATATAATAAATTAAATATGTTTATCAGTAAAAACACTATCTGTCAGCACAATTAGACATTATAAAGATTTAATATACAAAGAAATTAAAGAATATAAAAATCAGTAGATATATCAATATGCTCGGAGGCACTGGATAGCCTAGTATAGGACTGTACAACAGTGAACATACACAAATTTGCATCTGCTAATGGAACCTAGGACTTCCTATCTCTAGCGTAAATTACAAATCTCCAAATCACTGTGCCAGTATTTGCTGGCGAACATGCTCAACTCCAATTACACCAGACATGCTTGAACTCTACTGGTCACGGCTTACCGCTAGAACTTCAGGAGTTGCATCCTGAAGCTGTTCACAAGGAGTACATAATTATCATAACTACAGAAAGCTTCGTGAAAATTACAGGTTTTCAATGGTGGTATAGTTAAAATTAGTTTATGATTTAGCTATCACTTATTGGCTTATCACTGGTACTTCATTTAACTGAAATTATAATAGTACTGGTTATTCTAGACTACTTTGAAACTGACAAAAATCTAATTGTAAGTATAAACAAAATTAAACGTTGTCCTTAATGTTGAGACCAGTATCTTCGTTTTACCATAAATACTATAATTTCATGAATCTGTTGTAGAGCAAATGTTAATGCACGTGATAATTTCCGTTGGACACCATTACATCATGCAGCTCACTCAGGAATGATTGATATGGTTGAATTATTATTAAATAATGGTGCATTAATTGAAGCAAAAGCATTAAATGGTGCAACACCATTATTTCGTGCTATTGAATGTTCAAGACTTAATGTAGTCGATTACTTCTTATCAAAAGGATCCAAATTATTTGTAGAAACACGTAAAGGTGAGAAAAACTGTTAACGGGATTTATTTTTATTTTAATTGGTAAATTGTTTTATTAACTGATGAGAAACAACTTTAATTGTAAGCTTTAGACTGAATTCAGATTAGGATAGTTAACATGCAGATTTTAAGTGTATTTTTCGATCTTAATTTCGTTAAACACTTCTGAAGTGATCATAAGATTTGCGGAGAGCCTTAATACAATAATTGTAATGTATATAACTAATGAGCCAGCGATTATATGAAGTGTAAAACGCCAAACCTAAGATAAGGTTTTGCAGTAGGAGAACTTTCAAATACTTTTGGATGTATATAGAATTTACAAAAGGTAGCAAACGGAATACATTCGTGCGCATACTAATGATTGATAAAGATTTGGTACTTATTTGCCATGTCATTTAGTGACATGCTAGGATCTTAATCCAAACGACTCAATAGCCGTGTTCTATTATCTGTAATTTTTTATCACTGTAAGCTACAAGTGAAAATTAAAGCTTTGAAATGGTCTGCTGTCAGTGACATTAATCGGAATCGTTCACATTCATGGTTGACAATATGAACATGAATTAGGTAATCATCAGTTTCGTACATTTCTGGTTTCAAAAATCTGTATCGATGATTTAATAATGAGTTGTCAGTAAACTTTTGTCTTAATGACTGTATGGTATAATTGAAAGAGCGGTCGTTTGAATTTTGAGATAGTGTTAAGTTACAGTACTTGTTCAATTCAACTGGACCCAATTTTCTAAGTATGTGTCGAACTTTCTACGCATCATTATGCTCAGCAAAATCACATTTAAAGAGATCCTCATGCCAAATGAACTATGTGTCAAATGTAATATTTGAATCTGGGCCATAGAGCTGAATTAAGCGATGCTGTTTGCAACACCTTTGACAGAGGGTGCATTACTGAGAGCAGATGTAATAGATGATTTTGTTGCTATGTGGTTCACGTTTATCACCAATAAGTCAAAAAGTATTTATTTTATCGATAGTATATCAATAGGAAATTATTATAATATTTGGAGATAAGTATTTGTGATTAACAGATAAAATAATGTAATAGATCTGGATGTCATAAAAACAGTATTTTATGTATTGTATCTTATAGATATTTCTGAAATGAGTTCATTAATAAATTGTGCATTACTGTGTCGACACGATTACGTTTTCAAATTTTATTAAATTGATTTTGTACTTCACAAGTATATAGATACATGTATCATACTATTATAGAAGTTAGATTGTACCTGATTTAAGTGGATGACTTCATGATTGAGAACATGATCTCTCCAAGTAGGCAAGAAATATATAGGAAGAAAATGACTGTAAGATAATTTGTATTTTATTACAGGAGAAAACCCATATGTAGTAGCATTGAATTGGTCTGATCCAAGAGTAATAGAACATGTACATGATAAGTGGGAATTAGCACAAGAGGCAGCTGATAAACAGAAGAAACAGGGCAGTGCAAAACGCAAAGTAAGTTTATTTGAATATTATTAATAATGATAATAGAATACTTCGTGAACACCTAATTAAGTCAATGTAAAAAAAATTCATGGAGTTGTTGTTACGTACCAATTTAATCTATCACTAAAATTTGAAACAGAAGACCCTGATCCACAGATTTCAGTCATATTTCTCTTATACAATCTTCACGATTGTTGTACTGTTATTGTCTTTTCAGGATTACTTTAATTCTATGATAACATTTTATAAGCAGAAAATTTGATCGTTTTTAAAAGCTGCTTTTGATGACTCGGACTGATTTCAATTAAAGTAGTAAGAACCCTAAAAAATAAAAAAGTGTATCTGTTGGAGATGTTAGTGTTTGTCATGATTCAATAGCACAATGAACTAGACTTCAGTGAGTTCAAACCTCACTGTAGCATCAACACCGAAATAAAGTAAATCTACCTGATAATTCCCAGAATGAATTTAGCGCGACTCCTGGATTCCTTTTCAAAATATTGTCCAGAAGTATAATGTTGCATGTACTACTTTCTTGGATAGTTTATCAGTATCTTAATCATTATATATGACACTCTTCTCTCTACCTCTTCGCAATAATGGCGTTTCAGTTTTAATTGATGTATTCTACGTTTTATGAGTTTTAACAAGTGAATAAAATAAGTCCCAAGATTATAATTAAGCGTTGATAATGCCATACAGTCCTGTGGTTTTTCAACCAATAAAAGGAATAAATATCTAGACGATATGTTAAAGTTGACTGAAATAGTTGTTGTCAATGACTAAAGTTGTTGGTCTGTTGAAAAGTCAACAATAAGCATAAACCGTAATTGTGAATCTTGATGCTCATTAACCTACAAGCTACGGAATTGAAAGAAAAAAACGATAGCTATGTACATCATTAAATCACAAGTTTATTTATTACCTTGTTTTCAAAATTTACCAATTTCCTATTAAATACTCTTGGTATCGTAAAACAAATATGTTAAGTAGGAAAAATCAGACATTCATTTTTATTCAAATTACTTTCTGTTATATGGATACATTCATCTGCTAACTTGCTGTAAAAAGTAAATATTCTACTATTTAATAATTGAATTTATGAGTCAATTGAAGCTAGACCACCATGGAAGACCTGAAAGCACTAGACGGCCGTTTCATCCAAGTAAGGGACTCCTCAGTAGTGCGAATCTACGATCTCGCCCCCCCATGAGATTCGAACCCAGGACCTATCAGTCTCGCACGCGAAGGCTTAACCTTTAGACCATTGAGTCGGTATCCAATGATGTTAATATATAACTTCAACCAATCCATGAATTCTACTATTTCAATACAAACTACCTTATGTACATTTTTATTTCCAAAGGAGACTATAAGATTTCTAATAAAATAATCTATGAATACTAATTAATGGATATACTAAACAATAATACAATTCGTTCGAGTAATGTCTAGTCTCAAGACTAAATTTTTTTGATTGAAACCGTTGAATGTGAATCGATACCAAATGCAAAGACTGGTATTAAGTAGAATAGGTTTTTTTCATTTAATGAATTAAAATTCCTATATAAAGAATATGTTATAACTTGTTGCCATGTATCCTATTAACATAGAAATAACATAATTGCATGTTATAAACAATTGAAGTACATCAACTTTGTAGGTTTATTCATTCAGAAACCAATTTTTAAGACAACTTACCATATATAGTCTAATGATTGTTTATTATATCAGATTAACGTATTTCTGCTTCCTTCCAATTCTTAGTTTTTGTAAAATAATCCAATCCAATAATATTTGTAATAGGCTTTCTTTTTAATAGTAATAATAATAACGGTTATCCAATGCTTCTAGGTTTTCTATGGTGGTCTAGATTCAATTGACTAATGTATTCAATTATTAAAATGACCAAAATCTTCACAAAATCCTTTTCTGTTAGTAATAATATTAGCTTATCATTTATTTTTCAACGGGACATTGATTTTATTGTTATTTTTTTGTATATTTGAAATACTTTTATTTCCCTATCTCTTGTTTATAATATAAAAACAGAGATAATAAATAAAATGGTAAGAATTTGAATTTCCTTGGTTTGTTTTCTTTTTACATTTTATAATCACTATGGTTAGTAAAAGTGTTTGAATTAATTCGATTTTTTTTAATAGTTCATGATTTATTAATTGGTGATTTTCAACATTCGGTTAATTTAAAATATTTTCTTTCCATTTTTTTTCTCTCTTTAACAAGAAACAATAATTGCTCAAATCCAATTGGTGTTGTTTTACTTGTGTCTTCTCATTGTTATTTAGGACTGCAAATGATTATTCTCTTGTTAGCATATGTGTATTCTGTGTGAACTGCTTCTATATAACTTTAAGTCATAAGCTTTTTAAGCAAAGATGGATAGTGGCTAGCAGTAGAGTCCAAGACACACGTTTCGTCGTATTTAGGACTCACCAGCTGGGTATACCTACATCCTAAATTTGATGTTCACTCTGGGATGCAGGTACATCCAGCTGAAGAGTCCCAAATAGCACGAAACGCGCGTCTTGGATTCCGCTGTTAGCCATTATCCATCTTTACTTAAAATATCTGTTCAAGTTTCGATAGAGCAATGAGAAGCCGGAGTTGATTTGAAATATATAAGATGTACTTGCTCTATACACCTCGAACAATCTGGACATATATATATATATATATATATATATATATATATATATATATATATATATTTGTCAGGGCATTTTATATAAAGAGTAATAAAGGTCAATTAAATGAAATTTCAAGTAAAAAAGGAGATAAAGGGGAGAGAAAAGTGTTTCTTACATCGTGTAGAAAGAATATGATATTGTCGCATTACCGTAGGCCAGGGTAAATTCAACGTTACGACTAATTGTTTTTGTGCACATAAGGTAAGTTTAAATTTACAAATAGCCAAGGCTTCCATAAACCTGAGAATTCGTACTTAACTATTTTTATACAACGTTTTGAAAGCTGTGTTGATGTCAATTCTATGCCCCGTTTCAATTGTGTTTTGCTATCGATGAACATGTTTTTCTACTTCCCACATTGATCGGGTCATTTAACATTAACTGTTTTTGAAGTCATCTAGGAACATGTTTCATGACCCTTGACTGCATTGCTTGATCACTCCTCCCTATGTATGTGGGTCCGTGCAAACATGTAAATTGGTAAATGCAATCGGATTTGATGTACTCACTTGTGTATTGTCTACGTCTATTTGAAATCATGGGCTTAGACTTTTCAATCACAACCAGCTTAATAGGTTTTCTCGATAACTGCTTTCAATCTTTGTATTAAAACCATACTGTTAGATTTATCTCTATATGGTAGATAGATATAAACTTTTTTTTTCGGGACCGAATCAACAAGAAGTTTTAATGTTAACTGACTTTCGCACCTATTTATAACCTTTAGTGGATGACCATTTTGTGTTAGTGCGTCAGTTAGCCCTGGCAAGTATATGTGACCAGATTGTTCGAAATGTATAGAGCAAATACATCTTATATATTTCACATCAACTCCGTCTTCTCATTGCTCTATCGAAATTTATAAAAGGGACTAATCGCTTTAAATTGTTCAAGTATTAGAACTTGGTCGGTAGGTTGAAATAAAGTTTAGAATAATTCATTCACACAAATAAATCTGTTAGCAGTTAAAGATAAATTCATAAATCACATTAAACTAGGGTTTATCTATTACAGACTAATTTATTTTTGATAAACATAATTGGTGGTACTGTGTACTTTATAAGTACTTTTGATTATCAGTTCAAACTTTCTTTTAGGTAATAACTTTCAAACCATTCATATAGCAAAGGCCACAACAAACTTAAGTATTCATACTAAACCCCTTCTAGATTGAATTAAAAAGTTGATTATGTACTTATATGGTGATACGAAACAAAAAAAACAGATTCGAATGACTAAATAGAACAAATAACAAACAACTATTCCCCCTACATTCGAAATGGCTAGTACGACTGATCTCAATTCACGCTTTGCATTATTGTATAGAGGTGTACAGTGAAAATATAAACATACTGAAAGTGTAGTCAGACGAATATTATATTCACTTTACGAAAATACTTGTTCAAATGAAAATTCCGTACAAATATGTCACACATTATTGTTCCAGTTAAGATTGCATAGTAAATACCCATTCTGTGAATCAAATTTTCAATGATAATTTAAATGCTTATTGTCATTGAGTGAGTTGGAAAAAGGATATACAGTGTTAAGATTTAGATGGTGGTTGGAGGTAGTCAACAGGAAACCCTGGACCCGGGTTTCGTGCTACTTGGCACTCGTCAGCAAGGTGTACCTGTAATCTTGAGGGAACTGGTGCTCCCTGGCGGATTCGATCTCGTGTCACCCAGTTTCACAGTCAGAGACGTTACCACTGAGCTATCCGAGCCAGCAGTGTCGAGTCACCTAGACTGGTGGCTACATTGTAACATGATCGATAGCATTCGATCTGCACTAATAAGGACTAGACAAGCATGACATTGATCACTCAGTGATCAATCAATTGCCCCCAAATGCCCTGGTACGGCGGAGAGTGGGGAGAGTCCGCTCTCCCTCTCGAAATACTCTCACACGGCCACGCGTATATAGCCTCTGCCAGGGAAGTCCTACTCACTGCCTTCTCGTGGCGGGGGTGTTGTTTACGAAAATGAGAGGACGAAAAGCGAATGTCCGGCGCTTTAACCGGATTCCAAACCAATGGTGCACATGGGCTCCAGTATCCTGCGGGAACAAATGGCGTATGAACCAATTATTGGTCACCGGCTTCCATGGGACTGCATCTCCTTACGATGCTCCACTGCCTTGTGGATCAGACCTTTGGGTCGAAGGCTCGGGGTGTGGCTCCCTAAGAAAACCACCTGCTTCGGTTTGGGCACCCGGGCAGTATCACAGCCCTCACACATATCGGATGAGATTTGTGTGGCGCATATGTATTTGGTGCCTCTTTGTACCATTATCTATGTGTTGAAATAAATAAATAAATAATCAATTGCATATACAGTGTACCTGGAACGTCTATTGGTTCACATAGTACCCGAGAATCCTGTTGTACTCACGATTCTTTACGCATAAATTCATAAGCTAAAGTTATCAAATATCCCCTAGTTAACGAAATTGTCGTCCAGTGCTTCCAGTTGTCAATGGTGGTTTGGCTTAGATTGACTCATGAATTCAACTTTGAAAATACTACAATTTCCACAAATCCCCATTTTGATAATAATCATGTGCTCACTAGTGACTAGCTTCAAGATGAATTTCCTGGAGTTCTAGTGAGAACTCGTGACCAGTGGAGTCCGATCCGCGTCGGGTGTGAGATAGTTATCCACCTCAGACAATGGATGGAGGGGTTGCGCAAGATCATGGATCTATTGAAGTCAGATATTAGCACAGTTGCATGCCGGCTCAGCGGCCTAGATATTAAGCGTTCGCGCAAAAAACCGAAGGTCCTAAGTTCGAGTCCTGCGTACAGAATCGTGGATGCGCGCTTCTGATTGATCTCATACTGGGACGGAACGACTGTTTAATGCTTTCAGGTTTTCAATGGTGATCTAGCCTAGATTGACTCATGAATTCAACTTTGTAAAAACTGCATAAATTAAGTGTTCCAATCTAAATCATACATATTGTTCAGAATGACAATTCCATGTTTCGAATAGCTATTAATCAAACAATGTATCAGTATTTATTAAATTTATAAAACTATAATTTCACATCATAACGCTTAGTTTTTGTATGAGCAGTTGCACAGTCGAATTTCTAAAATATATTTAGTTCGTTTTAAAGCATTTCTGTTCGCATAAAGTTTATTTACGGTCAGTTTAATAATATAAATAAAATTTCTATGTACATTGAATCATGTACCATGAACGAGTTTACAATAAGTATGACAATATTTAAATTAAAAACTGTTTATTTGTTTAAATTTGCTGAAGAATTGAAGTCGTAAGGACTAAAATTTGTGATTTTTATCTGTGTATCGTGTAAAACTACTATTGTTCATGTGCCCATTTATTTTACCGGTAGTAGATAGTTGATTACTATTCATTCGAATTATCGTTTCTTTTTCTACATACGAGACAACTTTATCAATCTGATAAATAAGCTGACCTTCTATGTAGCACCCCATAAGTGAACCTGTTATATTTTGTCTCTTTCGATAATGAAGGTCACGATTCATTCATAACGATTATTCAATATTTCAAGACCTTATAAGAATACTTTTTCACATGTTATTTACATACAGTTCTAGCAGTAACTGATTAAATTCCATCAAGAAACTTTTATCAGCTATCATATCATACTGGCGAATTGCAAGAGTGATCAACAAAAAACTTATCCACAGTTAAGTCATTAATACAGATGATTGAAGCTGAACTGTGTCAAATTACCTAATATTCAAAATTAACTACTGAACTCTTAAGTCTCTGACATAAGTTTATCAAACTTTGTAAATGTATCTTATAGATAGGTGTTAACAAGAATGGAAAATTAGCTGCCAGTCTCCTAGAAACAATACAGCATAAATATCATATGTAATTTAGCTAAATAACTTGACCACATACATTGATGTTAACAAATTTCAATTGTAAATGAAGACTAGAATGTATAAAACTGACTATTTTCTTCTAGAAATATATTTCTTTTTGCTGAATGATACTTACATAGTTCATTATCATCTACCAATTGTTGTAAACGTATTACTTATTTCTGATATATTTTAACTTTTATTCTATAATCTTTTTCAAGAGACCAACTACAGCTGGATCGACTAGTTCAAGTAAACGTTCAGTTTCTCCTACTAGAAAATTCACTCCACCAAATAATTTGCCTGGTTTATATCCAAATTTAATGCAGAAACATTTTGATTTATCTTATTTAATTAAACATACATATTCTTTAGAGAAAACTATAAATAGACAAGATATTCGTATATGTCCTCGTTATCCATGGCTACCTAAACTAAATCGTGAGGAAAGATTAGCTAAATTAGCTGAAGCACGTGAACGATATGGATGGGATTATGGTTTACCTAATGTACCATCGCACTTATTTGATAGACATTTAATGAATCGATTTCAAGAGATTGAAGTGAACAGTGGAGAACAGTAGGAAACATGATGTCATTTTTCCCCAATGATTATTATCATTATGAAAAGCATACTTTATAATAACAATAATAATAATATAAGAAAGTGATTAAATTTAATAATGAAATAAATTAGTATTTTTCTAGTAGACTTATTTTACTGAATTTATACTATTTGAATGAATTAAGTAGAAGGTAATTGAATTAGTTAGATGCTTTCCTAATTTAGATATGAAGAGAAATATTTAGACATTAGAGAAAATCAATTGGGTTTACGGCTAAGTTGGTTAATAATAAATATACCTTAGTTGTAACAATAAAAAAATATAAGTTTTTAAGCTACAACCTTCTTGTTACTCATCAAATCGAAGTGAAACACTTTCAGTCATCTATATCAATTGTTACTAGGAAGATTTAAACGACTGATATCTGCGATAGGTAAATAAACATATCTTATTACGGAAATCATAATTTCTTGACTAATAAGTAATCGGACAAGTGCAATCGATAGTGAAAATGATCAGATGTTCGTTGTACGTCACATTAATATAAACTAATAGAATAACTGACACAACGGGGTGCACTTAATAAGATATACATTCACATGTTTGTTCAGAATGAACCCTGTTAGTTGCCAATGGATTAATTAGTAAACAGAAATAACCAAACCTACACATGAATTGATTGTATTGAATATGAATAAAACGGATAAACATGTATGGAGAATTTATCAACAAGCACATCACAGACAGATACAAAAAATACCCAGAAAAGTGAATCATAACACCTAGATCGATAAATATAGATTTAAGTAACCAATGATAAGAGCATAACTACATCCTGTTTCAAATAGTCGCTATCCTTAACTTGTCGAATAAATGAACACAGTAAAGATAAAGAGATAAACTACTTATGATTTGATAAAATCTATTGAAACCATCATTCATTCTAGTCTATTATTACTTACTAAAAATATAAATGATCAATAAATGGTCTTTTTGAAGTTGCAGATACGATAGATTCACCGATCTCCTAACCTTAAACACTTTTGTTAGGAGCAATTTATTGTTCTACATATCCATATTGCTGAGATTTCATGTTCACTACAATTATATCAATATCAAGTGGCTGGTGAGAATGATGCGCGGTTATCATTTTACAATAAAACTCACAGAAGTAATGTAACTATTAACAAATTTAAGATTCTGCTAGTAATACTACAGTGGAGATGATAGTTTCTTCTTCCTAGTTAAAAAGTATAACATTTTAACAAATTTTATTTGATGCATTCTGCTTCAAAATCATTGCTAGTTGTCAGTCCAATGGATTTTTCGAGTTAATAAGGTTGAAATGAATTCAATATCCATATAATTGAGATTTCTAAACTGGCGACATCTTTCTAATTAGTTTTAAATGACCAATACTTTTATTAGCTTACAAAATACTTATGTAAGAATTAGGAAACAGTATAATTCATCCTCATCCCTCATCTCCTTACTTTCCATCACATTGAACTATAAAGAATGATTATTAATTTAATGGAAGCATAAATTTCGAACGAATATAAAATTGTGATACAAAAATAATTAAATGAGCATTTACTTGCTTGATCGGTATAAAAGCGAAATAAATTGATTAATACATAATTGTTGGTCCATTACATCAATTACTATAAATCGAAATTTAGAGTAGGTATAAATTTCCGCTTCATTTAACGATATCATGTAAGATACAAAATTACTTTAGTGAAAAGAATCCTACATTTTAACTTACATCAGAAACAGTAGTGTTAAAACACTAAGCACTATCAATCAGTGTATCTTACCAATTGAACAATGCATGGCTCTATCATTTTTGATCAAGGTAGCTTGGTAGTAAGTATTGTAGTAAACAAGAACATGAGTAAGGAAAATCGATTGTTTTTGACACGAAATTACAGAGTATCTCACTAAAATCTGAGAACCATATAGTAACTAGTTAATTTGCAAAATATCAATCCATCGTCTCAAACTTAACTGTTCCTTTTGCAAATATCAGTTAATTGTCACAGATTTTATTGTTCATACATTTTCATACCAATTGCGTTCTGTTCCCGTTCTTTCCTTATCGACCTTCTATTGAAATACATTCTATGCCCGAACACCGTTATATACTACTTATATGGATATAAGTAACCCACACCAAAGTATCATTTAATCTATATGATACCGAGAAAATTAGAAACAAAACTTAGCATATTATCCAGTTGTACCCAACTATTAAGTTACACAATATTAAACAGATTTAAATGCTATACACCGCATCATGATAATAAAATGTTTCATGTAATAGGGTCGTCTTTCTCACTTTTCCTTTAAATAACACAGAAATCCACAATAATCTGAAGACTTTTATTTTGAATTTGAGAAAAACAGAAGCGGATGAGATATAAATAAATGTTCATATACATAACATATGTGTTGTAATACTACTATTACTATTATTATTATTAGTAGTAGTAGTATTAGTAACATTAAATACATTTTATAAGGCACCAGCTGTTATATGAGAAATTTTCATTGGATAATAATTTGTTCGATCAAATTGTCGTACAAAAGATTTCAATCGACTTACATGAAATGAACAATGTTTCGGTGTAATATTACATTCATTTGATAAATTATATAGATTAGATGAATAATTATGATAATTGTTTGTAGGTGAACGGTTACTGCCACTGCTGCTCAATACCGACTGACCATTAGATGTTTGTATAATGAACCAATAAAAGAAGATATCTTCACATGTATCTAAATCATCTATAAATGCTTTGATAGAACTTGCTAAAAGATCTGTATACAGATGTAAATAATGCTGCATGTCCGGATAAGATGGAAAGGGAAAACAAACATATTGTTAGTTTATCGATAATCATTAAAATTATTAGTTTACACAGCTATAAATTACACATAAAATGACAAATACCAAAAGCTTATAACTAAAAAATAGACAATATTGTAGTTCAATGCATTATATTTATTTATTTAAACACATAAATATTTGTAAGAGGAAGTACCAAATATGTATGCGCCACACAAATCATTCGAACTGTATAAGGGTAGAAATACTGCCTGGGCACCCAAACTGAAGCAGATGGTTTTCTTAGAGGGCCACTCCCCAGGCATTTGACCTAGAGGTTTAATCCACAGGGAAGTGGAGCAAATTCAGGAGGTATAGTTCAATGGTAACCGGTAACCAACAATTGGTTCATACGTCATTTGTTCCCTAGGAATCCTGGAGCCCATGTGAACCATTGATCGGAAATCAGTTTAAGTGCCGGACATTCGCTTTCCCTCACTTATGTAAACAACAATCCGCCACGAGAAGGCGGTGAGTAGGACTTCTCTGGAAGTGGCTGTATACGCGCGGTCATGTGAGAGCATTTCGAGGGTGAAAGCTGACTTTCACCACTCTCGATCATACCAGGGAATTAACGTCAAACGCTTTACTGAAAAGGTAGATAAACAGTAGTAGTATTCTGAGAAACAAATTAATCCCGGTGTCACAATGCTTGAACTCGAATCTAAACTAGCGAACTCGTGATCGCTGGAGCGGAGTGTTATTATAAAGGTGATCACTGAACAAGTGATTGGCTTTTATATCCATTTCAAAACAGTAATAATCGATCATATCTTTTTTTAAAATGATCAATATTATTGGGCGACAGGTATGAAAAGTGCAAATGGAAATGGTGTGCGAAATTCTTCAATGTCGCGGCAGATGGGAATAATAAGCTTAAACCACAGACGTTTTAATGTTACTCATAACAATGATTGGACCTAATAGGAGATTTATACATAATATTTAGTGTTGTGAAGGGGTACTGAAAGTGGAATTATAACGCTGGCTGTGAGACAATATGACCTAGGAATACTAAATTATACAATCACTGGATAATTAGACTGCTTGATTAGGTCACGAACAAAATATAGAGCATAGTACAGGGCAGGCTAAATTTTATTTAACGCAATTACAAATAGTCCACAAACTGTGAAGACCACAACAGAAATCGATTATGGAGACTAATTCACTTATTAAATAGTTAGTAAGCTGAGCACATCAAGTAACAAAGATAGAAGTTAATGATGTTGAATACGTACATTAGGAATGTGGGTAAAAATAAAAGATATAAAGTAAATTACAATGTTACTACATTTGAATGATATAAGGTTAAAATAGAATCATGAAAGTAGTGACTGAAAATAATGGAACAATATTAACAGCACATGCATTAAACTCATCATTAAAAAAATGTCTTGGTCTAGTATTTTATCGCTAATCCTACTGAGTTTCTTCTGAATCGTCTTTACGACTTCAGATTAGTCAATAAATTAACAGGCTACTGATTACATTTACCTTTGGAAGTCCGTAAAAATATTGAAATCACATTCATGTGTCCTTGCTGACATATATTTATTATATTTTTGTATAGCAGCTTGTAGTGGAATTCTAAACATGTATTTCGTTCATCCTAGAACCCATTATCTCTGTGGTCGTCCCCCAGTATTCACAGCGAGTCTCAAATTCAACGCGAAAATCAACGCTGCAAACACTAAGTCACAGTATACACCTTTTGTTAAATTTGTATGACATCTATTATTATTTATGATTGATGTTTTCTCGTGGATAAGGTATTGACTTTTGAAACGATAGGTACTCGATCTGAGTTTCAACGTTAACACTGGGAGACAGATACATCTATCTATCTGTCTTCAATTTATCTTCCACAAACTGTTCAAAAAGTAACAAGCTTACAACTGCAGACGACATAGATCGATTCAGTCAAGGAGCCTAAATATCAACAGACATCGAATTCAGTTCCGAATATCAAAAACAGGAAAACAAAAATCATCACGAACAACATTAATAAGAAATTAATGCATACACGTCATCATACTGGTGATACATGATGATGTACACGACATGAATTTTTAAGACTGTTTCTACATCCTGATCCGATTTCGCAAACGTAGTATCAATAATA